AACAATCGTGAGATCAACACAGCACCCTGAGCGGAGATAAGCAGCCTCTTCCAGGTACCCGTTTCCCCTTTAACCGCTTTCTGTGAAGTGTCGGGTCCCGTCAGGATCAGTTTCAGGTCTTTCGCTCGATTATTTGACCTGGAAACAAAAAGTAGCCCATAGTTTCGAGAGTCCATCGCTCGTGGCTCTCAGACTGGTGTTAGCTGCCTGAGCTAGCAGCAGCAGCTCCGGGCTCAGCGGCTCTGAGCCGGGCAGATGGCTGCTGCTGGTTCTCTGTGTTTCGGTCCTGAAACACTGTGGCTGTTAGCTGCCTGCCTTGTTGGTGAGGATCGTAGTTACCCCACGGAGCTGGGGCTGGGCAGGGGCTGGGCAGGGGCTGGAGCTGGGGGTGGGCAGGGGCTGGAGCTGGGGGTGGGCTGGAGCTGGGCAGGGGCGGGTTAACCCTTTCTGCTGGGAGCCTGTTTCCATAGTTTCCTTCCTGGTCCTCGCTGCTCTCCTCCTCTGTTCGCAGAGATGAGTCATCAGCACAGCAGAACACTGTCGGATTTTTCTGGGTCTTTATAAAGATTTGACTCTGCTGATGCCTTATGTGGCTGTGGCTTAGTTCGGTCCTTACTGTTGCAGGTCGGCCAGATTGTTTTTATTGACTGTTTTATTGGCACAATGATGCGTCTTATCTTTTAACAGACCTGTCTCTGGGTGTAAGTTGCAGGGATTTGCTTTGAGAGTGGGATCATTGTGGGGCAGAGCTCTCATGGCTTTACCTCAGAGCTGGATGACCTGTAGGGATGACCAGATCCGGCCCAGGGCTCAGGATGTGTCTACTGTTCAGGGTTATTGTATTACAGTTTAAAATCTGAGCATCACGTTTACGTGTGGTGTCTCCTCCCTGTGCAGAGCCATGGAGGTCCAGGAGTGACCACATCCTGAGCTAGCACTGGAATAAACTGTGGTGGCAAACAGGGGATCTGACTCAGGGCTGACAGGCAGAATGGAGCCTCAGATAAAACACCCACTCTGAGTTGTGGTGCTTTCACATGCATTAGTCCTGAAGCCATAATGGCTCTTTCCCACCAGCTCCTGCTCAGCTCGACTGGCCTTGACTCTTTATTTTCCTCTCCAGTGGGAGCTACTGCCTCCTATCACAGCTTTAGACCTGCAGAGGTCCAGATAATGTGAAGTCTACACAGTGCAGGCCAGTGATTGGTCCAGGTGTGTGACTGGACAGGTATGAGAGTGACTCCATCACGAGAACCCTGGTTGTGTTAAAGATGGACAGCAGATGTGTGGTGTGATTGTTTCTCTGATCATCGGCGGGTGCACTTGAATCAGCACTGTTGTCCTCCATCGTTGTCTCCTGTTTTTGCCACATAAAAAGACTCCACAGGCCTTTTAAGACTTGACTTGTAATGGAATACAGTCTAAACGGTGAAGTGGAGCTGTGCAGGTGCAAAGGGAAGCATGGCCGTAAGCAATCCGAAGGTCTGTGTGACGCTTGGTGCCCTGATCCCAGCGGGGGGGGGGGGGGGAGAGTCCTGCCACTGCCACTGCAGGGTGTCTGTGGAATGGGAGTAATGCTATTTGACATCCTAGGTGATATTTGGCAGACTTTCCATCATCATGTGCACACATGGTGGATTGGGGAAAACCAGATTTAAAAGCTTGGCAGTGGAGCCAGCAAAAGCATGAAAGCTGCCGTTGGACTGGAAGGAGTCCCGTTGTCTTTAAGTGTGTCCCACAGACTGCACTGGCCTCTTACTGAGGCTGCAGAGCCCCTCACAGGACCTCTGAAATAGATTCAGATGCAGGGGCTGTCCGACTTATGGAAGCGTTGAGAGAGCCCTCAGACAGCAGCTGTCAGACAGACAGACACCGACTGGGCTCCATTCTGACCCAGCACCTGACCCTAAAGTCTGGGTCCTCAAGGCTCAGGGTTAGGCTTTGACCTTTGACATTCATATAACAGGAAAGCAGAAAGGGATGCCATTGGTTATGTCACATTAAAGTGTTGAGCTGAAATGTTCAGGTACTGAAATCCAACTCTGCCGTTATTGGAAATGAGATTTAAGATGGCCGTTGGTGTTTGAGTCCATGTGAACAAACAGTCTGAGCACACATGAGCCTCCAGAGGTTTAGTGAGAGTTGACTTATGACTCATTTTTGCACACAGCAAACACTGGAGGGGAGCCCTTTGTTCAGCTGTAGGTTTTATGGCTTTGCCTCTGTTATTGTGTACTTTATGCTGCATCATCCGTGCACCAGACTGAACTGAGTTTGTGCTGACTGAGGTCCTAAAAGAACCGCTAACCGGACCGGACCAGCACAGCTAAGCTCAGTAGTAACATGACGGCAGGACTAAGGAAGCGCCAGGGAAACAGGAAAAACATGGAAACATGTTTAACCACCAAAAATCAGCATCTAGTATGACATCAAAGCCTCCTTACATTTAATTCAGTAACTTGATTGTGCCAGTGTGGTGAATTATGGGATGGTTGTCTTCAAATAGTTCAGTTAAAGGTGCTGCAGGAAAAACTCTGCTGAGGCAGAACTTGGTGGAACAAAGAGGATTTTATTGTCAGCCAGGTCCAGTCAGGAGTTCAGATTGATGCATTAAGTCTGGAGAGGTCTCAGAGAAACTCTGCCTAACTCTGGGGGTCCTGCCCTTATATCAGACCATATCTGAGCTCTGGGTCTTATACCAGGCTGTTTCCATCCAGGCCTGGAGTCAGGATGTAGTTAATCCATAGCAGAGACATTTACGTGCAGTTGGACTAGAATATATCTATATATCTATATATATATATATATATATATAGAATATATCTGTACCATAAACATCCTCCCAACACTCTACTTTGGCAAGTTGTTTCTCAAGTGTTTGTGCTCCACGATCAGAAGAGTCTGAGCTTAACTGTGAGCTTCAGATGCTACAGCTCTTGTGCAGAATGGGAGGGCTATGCAGGCGCTGCCAGATTGGACTGTGGCTCCCTTAGTTAGCCCCGAATTCTGCTTTGGGCTTCACAACAATTAATTCACAATTTATTTTCCAAATGACGAGGACTTTTCGGTTATGGTAATATAAAAATCAAATTTCCAAAATATTTAAGAATCCACCCTGAAAGAGAGAAACCCAGTGTCAAGGTCTAACCCTAACCCTCCTTTTAGTTGGTCTGACGATGCTTTGTGTGTTGACACATTTGTATATACACACAGACACACCTTTGACAAGCACAAGTGTAAATAGATGTTTTGCACCTTTTCACACATGAATGTTGATATTCTCTGTGTGACATTTTCAGCTGGCAGCTAAACTAGCTGCAGTAACGATGAGGGGAGTCCCTGTGTTCAGTGTGATGTTCCTGGTGTTCATCCCTCACAGCCTAAGCCAGGAGACACAAAACCACCTCTACTGGTCAAAAAGGTAAGACAACATACACTTTTTAAAAACCTGTCCACAGTTGTATCCTTTTTTTATTTTAATTTTTAATTTTTTTCCCCATTTATGACCTAATGGGTCATGTGATTTGTATTTAAGGGTGGGGCGTGTTCCTGTTTCCCAGCTTGGGAATTTGTTCTTAAATAAAAAACAGTGAATCACAAAAAAAAGAAAAACATGTCCACAGTCCACCTGATACTTGAATCTTACCAGAAACAGCTTCTGCTCCAGTGTTCAAAAGAACAACAATGGAATTTTCTGTCACATTTAGAGAGCTACAAAGATGTTATGGCGGGGGGGGGGGGGGGGGGGGGGTTCAGGGTCAGGGTCAGGGGTCCTGGATGGTAGTGTAGATCTGACAGGTTCCAGGTATCCATGTTATCCAGAGTCTTCCGTCTTAAGGCTATCAGTGCTGTCACTATGCCACAGATGCCACCATCATGAGACTTTGTTGAGGACTTGCTTACTCAGATTTGATGATGCTGAAGGGGTGAGGCTGTGGATTAGGCAGGTCCCCATCCGATATCTGGATCGGATCGGCCGCCGATCCAGACTCGGATCCTTTTTTTTTTTTTTAAGTCCGATCCCACAGGAGCATTAGCATTAGCATTAGCATCTCCTGACCCACAGGTCTGTCTTAACAGAGTAAATCCCTGTTCAACATGAGTCTGACAACTAAGTAAGTAGATAAATAACTTTAGACTTTAACACATGCTCTGATAGGTCGGTATTGGATCGAAAGAGAAAAAAGCTGGGTCCGGACATCCCGACTGTGGATTAGACTCCAAACTGACTGCATGGATTGAATAGTGGTGGACAGATAACGCATAGTTGTACATAAAGCAGCATGTATATCACATGATTTCTGTGTTCCTCCTTCAGGTCTCAGGAAAATGTTCTAGATCCCAACGAGTGTGTATCCAGAACCAGACCACAGCAGCTTTTAAACTTTCACAATTTCTCTGTGGACATCCGCATGCCTGCAGTTGTCCCAACTGGGGTGAGTTTCCCTGGAACTTTTTTGAAGAAAACTTTTAGAATAAAAACTTTCGCTATCTTAGCCATCTATCTTTCTCTATTCTACCATCTTAGCTGATTTTGATATGGCTAAATACAGTTTTTTTAAAGTCCATCCATTCATTATCCATATAGCTTATTCCTAGTAGGGTGCTGGGTGGCTGGAGCCTATCCCAGTTGTAAATGGAAGAGAGGTGGGGTGCACCCTGGATGGGTCACAGGTCCATCACAGGACCTTTGTTTGGAGCTTTTTAGCCGAATACAACCAGACCTGAGAAGCACACTGTTTATGGAGCCTCTTGCC